TTATTTAATTTAGTATTTTTCCTTTTTCCTTTCTCCTTTCCTTTTTCTCTCCTTTAATAACTATTACTTTCTTTTAATTCTAATTTACTATACTAATTTCTTTTCTTTTTTATACTAAAAGCCTGTAGTCTACTTTTTCTTTCAAACCTCCTACTCATTTTTCCTTATAATAATCGAATCCGCCTATACTTTTCTTATTTTACTATCATCCTTACTATAAAAGAATCGTTCGTATTTTCCTTACTCACTTTCCTATTTCAAATATATTTATTAAAAATTAACTCATATATAATTAAAAATTATAATAAATTATCTACTCCTTACAGAATTAAATTAACATTAATATATAATTACCGAAATTATATTCAATATTAATATTATAATCTCTAATAGAATATATAAATAATTCGAAAATTATAATAAAGAATTTATTAAATTAACTTATACTATCCTATATAATTTTATTAAGGATACGGAGGGATATATTATATTTAATATATATACCTATTCGAAAGAGACTGCTAAAGAGTAGGTAGTTATTATCTTCGGGAATAGGATTATAATATAAATATTATATAGTATTATTAATTTAATCGTAGTATTTATCCTACTATATAAAGATATCGCAGCAACCCTACACCGCCTAATTCGCTAATAGATTTGGGTATAGATCCAAGACTTCCGCATACGTGCAATATATATTACAACGGTAAATAAAATTATTAAATTCTTTAAACCTACGCTTATAGTAAGAGACCAGCGCTTCAACTCCATCGGTTAAATTATTTAGTATATCTCTTTACATTACTACTTAATTCCTATTATAAAAACCTATTTAGGTTTTATTATAAATATAGGTAGTAATATCGTTAAAGTATACCCTATTATATTCTTAATCCTCGCCGGACCCTTAATAATTATAAATATTCTTCTAATAATTATATTTAAAAATATTATAGCTTTTATACTTATTATAATATTTCGGCTCCCTCCTAATTTACACTTTAACCTAAAGGGAATGAACGTTAATTAGTAAGTCTAATCGGCGACCCCTAATAGTCGGATCGAAATATATATAAAGCCTTAAAAACCTAACATTTTAAAATATATCAATCGAACGCTTAGTATTATTAATTAAAATAGTCGCGCTACTATATATAAGTACAATCCGTTAAACTATTTATTAGAAGCTATTTATACCTTAATAAGTTTAGCGGACAGCGGCGATTTCGTTATTAAATTATAATTAATCTCTACCTTTAAAACTATTTATAGAATAATAAATAATAAACCGACCTTTATAAATAATTTTTAGGATATAGTCTAATCCCTTATTTAAAACTTTAAACTTAATTACTAATAAAAATTATTTTATAACGCCCTGTTAGGCGTATATAATAATCTTATTAACCTTACCGAAGACGATTAAAAACATTTTCTTACTATTAACAAATCCAATTTAATTAGTAGTAATTTAATTAATAGAGCTATCGTAGTCCGCCATCTAAAAAATGAACTATACGAATTAGCCGAAGAATATTAAAATATAAATATTTTATATTTAAATACTAAGGAAACGTTTAACCGGCTTTATAAGTAGGTTAATTATATTTATTGTAACTACGTACGAAAAATAATATATTCGGAATTACTAATAATTAAAAGTATTCGCAATTAAACTATTAAAATTATTAATATTTAGAAGGAAGAAAGTACCACCTCTAATTAGAAGAATTATCTACCTATTTAATTTACCTTCCTTATTTATAGAATAGCGAATATATCGAATAGCCTTCCTAAGTAAATTACCAGCTATTTTTTTCATTTAAATATAGCCTATTTAACTAAGATTCGTCTTAGTAAATTTAATAGTACTAACTACCAATTATATAATTAAATTAATAGGTTTATTACTAATAAAATCTTTTACTTTATAAAAATTTATATACGTAAGGCAATTAAAAAGAGCGTCCGCTTCTAAAATATTATAACCTACCGTTTAATTACTATTAAGAAGGATATTAAACAATTAAAGAAAGCGCCTTAAACTATAGAAATTTCAATATTTACTAAGTATATTAATAAATTAATATTATTCAATACCAAAATCGTTTTTCAAATTAAAAAAATTCCTATTCGCTTATACTAAGGATCCGGTATTAACAAATCCATTACTTATAACGGCTGCAAATTTACTAATAATTAACTATTTAACCCTCTCCCTACTATAAAGAGCCTTATAAAATTAATCCAACGGCCTAGGGCTATTAATATAGCTACGCTAAACCTACGCTCTAATTAAATAAATTGAATAACGTTAATTATAGTAAATAGTAATAGTAATAAAAATATAATAAATTTAAATTCACTTACTAGCGAAGTAAATAAATAAAAGTAATATTATTAAAATTTAGGAACATACTAAATTTTATTTACGGATAATAATAGTCCTACTAAACCTAAACCCTTATCTATTAGGGTAAATAAATTTATTAATTACCTTAATAAATAATCCGCTTATATTTATTAATAATTCTTACTACCCTCGGAAATAAATTTATTATTACCCTTACTTCTATTATTATTACTTAGGAAAGGGGTTAAAATTTTTATAAAGTACTTTAGTAATATAAAAGCGAAAATATTAAGATTAATTTAATATATTAAATATAATAAGATACTAGGTAGTTAAAAAAGGGATAATAATTTTAGTAGGACGCCGAAAGCGCGAAATACGTAATGTAAATAATTAGATAGTAGCGAGAGGAAGATTCGGTAATTATTTCTCCCAACCCCGGAAAATATTAAACAACAAATCCGCCTCCCCTAAGTTTATATATACTAGGCTATACCGAGCCGGATTCGGTTCGGCGTAACCTAATATAATATAGAGTAGGTATAGATAATTATAGGAGGATCCATTATATTAATAGACTCTCCTCTTTAATTAATTATTATTTATAATTAGAAATTCTTATTTAGTAATATTATTTATTAACACGAAATTTAGGTTGCAATTAATTATAATTCTTTAAGACGAATTCGTTACTTAGTAACGAATCCGCCACGTATTAATCCCTTTGACGAATCCGTCACTTACTAGATTCTTCTCTCGAGACGAATCCGTTAGTAACGAATCCGTCACTTAGTAGAATAGTAACTACGGTCTCAACTCCCCGTAATACCGTAGCACCTATATAATCCTCTTCTTTTTAATATTAATAGTTACTTTGAAAATAATCTTGGATTTTAACCGTTAGACTCTATTTATAAAAATATATAGAATTAGAATTATTTATTATTTATTCTAACCGCTTCGGTTAGTTTTACCCGTAATAATCTTATTACTTCGGATATTATATATAGTACCGTTTAGAAATTTAAAGGGGATTAGGGTTTCGTTAAAATTGATAATAAATCGCTTATTAATTTATTATTTGAATAATAGGTTGATTCATAGTAATAAAAATATAAAATAAATATTTATTTTATAGGGGATTAGTGGTCTACATATTAGACGGTCGATTTTATTCTTTATAGGTAATGTAGTATTTTTACGTATAAATTCAAAGAAACTAATAGTTAAACGAAGGTAATTTTTTAGTAATTTTAATAATTATTATATAACTTAATAGAGTATAATATTATAGCGGCGTATAAATTTTCTAATTTATTTATTTAAAAAGAGAAAGTTTGAATAAGGACGGTTAATTTAAGTATAAAAGATATATTTAAATATTCGCCTAAACTAACCAATATATACAAATTCGCCTGCCTTCCGCTTAGTAATAAACGCCCGGAATAGCTTTACTTTAAGTTCTAGATATACCGGCCGGAAAGGAAATTCTATACTATAAATAATTTTATTCCTATTACGCTACTAATATAAAATAATCGATTTAGGGATTTTAAAGTAGGCGGCCGCTTCCTATATAAATAGCCGGCGTATATTGTAGGGTAGTAGAGTTTTTTATTTATTGATTCGGGTATGGAAGCTATATTCCGGAGTAGATTTTAATTTAATAAAATAAAAAAGAAGGTAATTAAGTATAGGAATTTTTAAATTGCGGGTATAATTACGTTTAATCTTTTATTTAGCGGGCGGATACTTATATAATTAATGAGTATACTATTAATAAATAGATTTAACCTTCTTGCCTAGTTTTATCTATTTAGTAATAAATTCGTAGAATTAACGGGGTTTATTATCCGAAATAGTAAATAAGAAGGATATATTAGGATTCGAACTATTATTAAAAGACGATAATAATAAAAATGAAGTATTGTAAAATAAATTTAATAATATTTTATTAATATAAAGGGTTTAAGTAATTAGGGGGATAGGGAGGGGAATTGTAAGATAGGAAATTATAATTAAATAAATAACGAAGTAGGGTAGTGATGTGAAGTTGTGAGTTGAGATTTGAAATTTTAAAACTCACTTTAAAGTTGGTCGATTTTTTAATATTAGTAACCCGGTAGTAAAAATTTTAATGGCGGTACGCTTAAACGCCTTGTTAGACTTAAGGCTTACTTCTTTAATAAAAGATTATATTGTGATTGATAGTTGTAATATTATTTAATTAATTATAGTAATTTTAACGATTTGAGGGTACGAATTAGAATCGAGAAGTATAGTAGTTTAAATAAGGAGAAGGGATGTGGGGTGGCTAGGCGAGATTCTGTAAGATTATTGGTACGGGGAGCTCGGCTGGCATGGGTCACTTGCAGTCGGCTGGCGGGGCTGGTAGGGGTGTAACGGGGGGTGCTAGCTGTATGGCGCTCGCTTACATGCCCAGATCGGGTATGTGGGTAGTATGTGGGTCCACTAAGGGTATCCAAATCGACTGCGAAATAGCGGTATATATAAGGTAAGACATAGTATGTATATATTTGCACTCCCACACAATCATGTGCCAAGTCCCCAAGAGTAAGTCTAAGCAAGCAAACGACAATGAGTGGTGACAAAAAGTGGTTTCCCCTTTGTCATCGTTCGTGCCAAGTTCAAAACCAAAGACGAGAAGCCTTCTATCTCGCTCAACCAACGCCTTCCGTCCAAAGAGACGCTCAAGTACCCTGCCTCCGATAATACACCATATAAGCCGATGTGTTCCCATTTGCATACATCGCCTCCGTCAAGTCCGGCATTCCGCCATTTCCATTTCCATTCCCATTCAGACCCGGACCACCACTTCCAATCTTCACCCTCTCCACCAAATCATCATTACACTTGAACCAATCCGTCGGGTCCTTGGACTGCTCATCCTGCACGTACGTATAGTAATGCCCGCCGTTGATTCCCTGTCCCACATGTACCGTGACGGCGTAGCAATCATACTTCATGCGGCCGGCGTAGTGCGCATCGTCCGTAGTTGCCATGTCCGGATCCGGTTCGGCGCAGTATTTAGTCAAATCGAGGTCCCGGATTGGGAACCGTACTTTGGTGTGGATTTTGTTGGAACCACCGCCAGAAAGGATGGAGGAGAACGAATTTCGGGACTGCCCAAAGGACGAGTTGAACCGATTGAGACAAAAGGCAAGACGGTCTGGTAGTCGAGCAAACTTGGCCCGTCTTGTCCTGCCGGGTTGGTTGCATGTTTCGCATTTGAGATCCGGGAAATGTTCGGTTGCTTGGTGGCTGGCAAGAAGACGGTCAAGATCCGTGACTCCGTAGCCATGGCCTTCGCCTCCTGTCTCGGCGGCGATGTTGAGGATCCAGACGTCGCAGGGCTGGAACATGCGGATTTCTTGCCGGCATTCGGCGTTCTGGCAGCGGGAGATGAAGACTTCTAGGCCCCGAAAGTATTTGTCAATGATGGAAGCACTAGCTGTTGAGTAGTCACGCCAATAATCAATGGCATTCTGGATCACTGTCCCATTCTTGGGTGTATACGGCTTTTCTTCTTTGGGCGGCTTGCGGTCTCGGTGAACGTTGGTTTCGTCATGGATGTTGTCAATGATAAAGGAGTAGAACTCCTGGGCGTCTTGCTGCGCCGGCCCGCCAAAGATTTCCGTTTCTGGTTTCTTCCTGCCATCCGCGTTCTTGGAGTGAATAAAGTGTATATAAGCCTATGCGGTGTTAGTCTGTGAATCGTCCTCGACGGCCACATGATATCCAAATCATCACGTACCATGAGATGCTTCGCTTCCAACGATCTCAGCGTTCCCTCATCCAGCCAGTGGAATAGACCAGCTAGATACTTGGTGAGTAACTGAGGATTTTCGTTCTTCTCATCCGCTTTCAGTGGGACTTTGTACACATCCTTCCAAACACCCGTGTACAACTCGCGAGCAAATCCAGGCGTGGCGAACATGGCTTGCAGAGAGCTGTTGGCGAAGCAGAATACACCAGGGTTGACAAGACCAGTCCTAAACTTGCGAACTTTTTCAATTCCCGATTTAAGTGACGATCTTGTTGACGTTGCCGTGGTGCTGGTGTCGGTTTCTGCTAGGCCGCTATAACTCCTACGTGGGACGGTCGGAGCCGGGCGAGTTGGAGGAGATGGTAGCGAAGAGTAAAGGTTCTGTTCGTGAACGATATGTCGAGGTAATGGGCTCGCTGGCCGAGCGGCAGCAGGGTTAATAGGTGAAGTCATGGACTCCTGTATCGTTGAAACTGAAGGGTATCTCCGCAAAAAGTCTTCGGTACTTCTCACCGGAGTAACAATGTCGACGTTTTCTTCCCATTTTTGAACCTCCGCGAGATCTTGTATTGGCCGCGTTACGTTTCTGCGTAGACGACTTGTGAGGTTGTGGGTCAAAGGTGGCCTTGGCTGTGATCTCGCAGCGGCACTTGTGGAAGATGTCTGCAAAGCTCCGGTGCCAACTAGGTCGGTCCACGCCTCTATTCCACCTTTAAGCAACTTCAGTCGCTGTTGTGAACTTGATCCGCCGGCGTAGTCATACGCTGTAAGGGCATTGTAAAAAGTTAGGACCGCTCGTTCCTCTGGTGTCTGGGGACTCGATACAAGGCGTTTGGACCGCTGGTCGTAGAAAACAATCAGGTCAAAATCATGCCGTCTCTCAAAACGCTGCTGTTCGGCTTGCGGTGCTAATACCATGCTCTCTGCTATATCGCTAGCAGAAATATCTGGCCGCATCAGCACTTCATTTTCGACACATATTGTTGCCTGTGACATGACATGGCCCTCATCGTACTCGTCACGACTTCTGATGTCAATGACGAGAATCGACACGTCCCTAGCGCCAACTCTCATGTAGCGCTCAAGCTCCTCGGCCGAGATAGTATCACCATCGGGTATAGCGGGCTTTGGTCTTATCTTTGGACTTGTAACAGGTGGTCCAGAAACAAGACTTTCATCGGACGTACGGGGTCTGCCATTCCTATTCATGCCAGTGGCTGATGCCGTTGAGCCCTTTCTGGTAAACATGGCACGAGGAGCGCTAGATGGAAGCTCGGCTGCCTCATTGGACACTGTACCTCGTGGCGGGTTGTAGATAGCAGCTGGTACGCGAGGTAAATCCGCTAGAGCAGTAACAGGAGGAACACTCGGTACTTGTGACCTTGGGGGGTCACGCGGTGCCGGTGGGTTTATTGGCATTATGGGTTGCGGAATGGGCTGTGTCCGAATTCGAGGATCCTGTATTGTTGTTGTGTTGGCAGGACTCGGGGTACTGGCGGTGTATGCCCGAAGCTTTGCGAAGCGAAGAGCGAGGTCCTGAGCTGCATTGTTGGTAGGAGTTGTCGCCGGACCGCCAGAGTGTTGAAGCGCATGTCCGTGGAGAGCCTGAGGTTTGGGGTGTACGGCTGGCTTGGATCTCCCGGGCGACGGCCATGACTGATCTGGCAAAGCATACGTACTTTGTCGGGGCGAGCTATAGACCGAACTGTCGGGACTCGTGGTATTTGACGAGAAGTTGGAATGTGATCTCGTATGTCCGTATCCGACACTGGGCGTTTTCTGTTGATTTGGGCTTCCTAGTAGTGGCTGGACACCTGTTCGGGCATTATCTTGTTTGATCTGCTCTTTGATCTTATCGAAGTCGCTTAACAGGCTCTTGATCTGTCGGAGCAGATGTTGATGTCGCATATATACGTTCGGTCGGCTTCGATCCAGCAGCGCCCAGTCCTTGTTCTTCGGGATGATATCCAGAGCTATGATGTTGGCCTTGATGTATGACTTGAAGGCCATGTCAATCCTACCAAAGGACTGGAAGGCTTTGGCTTGCTGGAGTGCTTCTTCGGCGAGCCTGAGAGCACTGTCGATCGGGGTCGCGGGGTCTATGCTGACTGTAACAGCCTTGAGGTCGTCAAGATGCGGCATTGGTGGTCGTTTGCTTCCTCCGGTGCCTGGCCCATGTCCTCCTCCTCCCCCTCCCCCTCCGTTGATTGTCCGGTTCTGTCCACCATCTTGTGTGCCGTCCAAACCTCCTGTTGTGTGGCCATTCTGCCCGTTGACGGAATGTGCAGGTGTTGCATGGTTGACCATGGTCGCAGATCCAGCCATGGGCAGTCCCTGGTATGGATGATGTCTTTCGGCGCACTGGGGGCGCAAATCGCAAAGCCTTGAAGTCGAGTTGCTACGGCGCGTCGTGGATGCTCAAGTATGCGCCCGCAAAAGGTGGCGGTTCAGTTCTACACCCACAGTCGAGCGCGTTCGCAGGTGTTATGGACAGTATTTCGCTATGTCGTCAAGCTTTCCTGGTCTCGTCGTTGGCTTGAATCAGGGAAAGAATGGGTGGTTCGTGGAGAGGATGGACAGGATGACGACTGCGGTTCGAAGGCGGTACCATGAGTGGCAGCCTGTGATTCCTAGTATAGTTCTTGGCACACGAATCTTGCAACTGGAGGGATGGTCAGCGGAGCGAATCGGTGACCGGTTCCCGCGCGTTTCGTTCGGTTGCTCGGTTGCACTGAACTGAACTGTTTCTTTGCGTAAATCATTCCATAGTTAATATCGAGGAGGCAGAAGGTGTTCGGCCAGGGAAAGCGTTACGGTCAGTCCGTCTCTGGTGGGTTTCTTGGTGGGGGTTGTTGACTTGGGTTGTTGTCACTGGGAACTTCTTGGGCCTGGACTCCCCGAGTGTTGATGGGGACACAACAGGGGCAAGGGCACCTCAGCCGAGTGCGTCATTGGGAGGGGACGGGTTTGGATATGATGGCTTCTCACAGGAAGTCCCTTCAGCAGCCACGTTAGTGCTCCAGCGCTATACATTAGGCATAAACCGCTATATTTCAGCTTGAACTCTTCTATCTCTATCTGTCAATTGCCGCTCACTAACATAGCGGCCTGGCCAGGGGAATCCAAGTCGCCTCCCTTCGTGGGAAACCTACAAGACCCCGCAGCTCCGCGTCTACAAGAACACAACCGAGCGGGACAGGGGGGAGGTAGGTACGTACCCCGGCCCTTGGATGCGCTACAGGCACTGGGTCACCTTGGGGGCTTGGGCCGCGGCAGAGCATGGATGGTCGGGGCTCATGCCGCCTGTCATACGTAACCAACGGGCAGGCAGAAACGACCTATGTATCTAGCGACAGGCACTCGTTGTCAGTGGCTGGGAGAGGTATCCTTCCTGCCATCTCCTACCATACTTGCCGTCTTCCTGCTCCAGGTCAGCATCGTATCTTGGTCGACATCGGTCCGTTGATACTACATCATTGGCCGGAGAAGCTACTCGGCAACCCAGTATAGTATTGGATGCCTTTTTGGAAACAGAACCGACTTTGAATCATTCGGCTGGTCAACAACGACAACTACCTACCCAACCACTCGAAATACCCTCCCGCCTTCACCACGCGACACGGCGATATCATCCCCCTCTCCAGCCTGTCCAGTTTGACGCTAAGCACCAAAAGCGCGTACTCGAGATAGACTGTCCAAGATGATGAGTTGGTGGTCTTCGGGGGCCAACACTGCCCTTGACGAGCAGATAGAAAAGGCCACCAGTAGCAGCTTGTATGTTGTGTCGTCTCGTGGTTCCCTGCTCGCTTTTGGTACGAACCTCTGTCTAACCTGTCCGGTTCCTCATGTAGGGAAGATATCGCACTCAACCTCGAGATCTCCGATGTCATTCGCTCCAAGACCGTCCAGCCCAAGGAGGCCATGCGCTCGCTCAAGAAGCGCATCAACCACAAGAACCCAAACACACAACTGAGCGCCCTCAACGTATGCCCACCGCTACAACCGTACCCCGCGCCTAGGCCGCGTCATGCTAACAGGCACCAGCTTACCGATACATGCGTCAAAAATGGCGGCGCACATTTCCTTGCCGAAATCGCCTCGCGCGAGTTCATGGAGAACCTGGTAGGCCTTCTCAAGGCCGTGGGTCCCGCCGCTCCGAACCCCGACGTCCGAAACAAGATCCTCGACTTGATCCAGTCATGGGCTATGGCTGCCGAGGGCCGCTACGAACTGTCATATATTGGGGAGGTCTACAAGACGCTTCAGAGGGAGGGCTATTCTTTCCCACCCAAGCCTACGGTAGCAAGCAGCATGATCGATAGCAGCGCGGTAGGTGTTAGTTACAGACGGCTTTGTGACCATGTGCCAGAGCTAACTAGGAACAACCACAGCCTCCTGAATGGGTTGACTCGGACGTGTGTATGAGATGTCGGACCGCCTTTACGTTTACCAACAGAAAGCACCACTGTCGCAACTGCGGCAACTGCTTCGACCAGCAATGCTCGAGTAAATCCCTTCCGCTCCCTCATCTCGGAATCATGCAGGCAGTCCGTGTGGACGATGGCTGCTACGCAAAACTTACCGACAAAGGCGGGAAATCCGGAGGGTCCGACCGAAAGCACCATTCATCAAGCCGCCATCACCACCATCACCACAAACACAAGAGCTCTTCGTCGATGCAGCCGCGTGACGCTCGGGTGGACGATAGCTTTGACGAAGACCTAAAGAGGGCTTTGGCTATGAGTCTGGAGGAAGTAAAGAGTTACTCTCGCGGTCACTCAGAACCAGCGAACAACACACAATACAAACCGGATAAGCAGTCTACTTCGGTTTCCAAGATTGCGGAGGAGGAAGATGAGGATCTCAAGGCTGCCATTGCCGCCTCGCTCGCGGATATGGAGGAGCAGAAGAAGAGACATGCAGCCGCCCTCAAGGAACAGACTTCCAACGTCGGAAGCTCTTCTTCGGCCGCCCCCTTTACGCTTCCAAAGAATGATTATGAGCTCACTCCAGTGGAAGCCGAAAACATCAACCTTTTTGCTACTTTGGTGGATCGTCTCCAAACGCAGCCGCCTGGGACTATCTTGCGCGAACCCCAGATCCAGGAGCTTTACGATTCTATTGGCGCCCTACGACCGAAGCTTGCCCGCACATATGGGGAGACGATGAGTAAACATGGTAAGTTGGGCCTATTTTCTGGATAGGCGTCTCAAGCTAACCTGAAACAGATACCCTTCTTGACCTACATGCGAAACTGTCGACTGTCGTCCGCTATTATGATCGAATGCTTGAGGAACGTTTATCCAAGGCGTATGGCCAACACAGCATTGGCGGATACAATCTTCCGGCTCCTCGACAACCTACTGGACCCTATCCCACGTTAGACCCGAGTGCTCCCAGCGCTCCGGGGGCAGCAGAAAACTTTTATACTGGCGAGCAACAAGCAGACTACAGCCACGCACCTTACGGACAATACCCACCGCAACCACCACAGTCACAGTACATGCCATACGATAGACGAAGCTCCATGGTTGGGCCGTCGAACCCTCAGTATCCTCAGCAGCAGATGCCACAACGGACAGGCAGCTGGGGCAATGCTCCTCCAGCACAGGCACCACAGTACAGCTATCCAGGCAACGAGGTGGCCCCTAGCCAACCGGGTCATGCTCAACAGGCGCAGCCAGGTGCACCGGAGTCAGCTCCTGGTGCGCCTAACAACGATCCGAACGCCTCATATTACTACAATCCCGGTCAGCCTCAGCAACAACAGCAGCAGTCAGCGCAGCAAGCCCCGGCGGCAGCTCCTGACCATAGTTATCCCACCCTTCCTCAGCAAGGAAATTCTTACCAGCCATCAGTGCCACAAACGCCTGCTTCTGTACCTGTCCAGCCATCGCAAACCCCACAGCAAGCCCACCAACGGGCACCACCGCCTCAGCAGGCTCCGCAACAGCCATATTGGCAGCACTCAGCGGCGCAACAGACTCCTTTACCACCTGTGTGGCAGGCTCCTCAGCAGACTACAACATATCCGGGCTATGATCAGGAAGCGTTCCCTTCAGCGCCACAGCATGCGCCAGCCCCAAAGCAGCCTGTTGTTGAGGAAGCACTTATTGAACTTTGAGTAATTGTCACTTTTGGAGATTGTGCCATAGTAGTAGTGCAATTATCTGCATGGGAGGCGATGTGATTGAGACAAAGGAAGATGCCATGCGTATCATAAGATAGGTATGCAAATTGAAGCTGTGGCCCTCAATGGGTTTTACAAAGCACGATTTGGTTGATGATTGTACTTTTGCGTGCTTCTCCCAGTTGAATGCCACTGCTGATCAGTATTGAGGTTCCGGGGTTGATTTGGAGCTGCGGCTTACTGCGTACATCAACTGGACCCGCCTCGGGGTCCTTTACCCCGGGACCCGGGAACCGCAAAGTGTGGAATCCACCGGGACCCATAGCCGGTCTGGCGGCATGCGGAGAACGGACCAAGATCGGATGAGACTTGAGAACCCTGAGGGTTGCCGGCCGACAGCGCTGCTTCGTCGTTGGTTGTATGGTGCGACGGTCACCTCTGATGGGCCGTATCAGAAGCTGCCAAGACTGTGATCTGGGAAGCCGGTTGACGTATTCGTTGTTCCAGATGTTGGGATGTGCGTTTCATGACTTGTCTCCGTTGACAAGAACAACTTGTCTCGATTTCGACTCGCCCTTATTAGTCATCTTCCTGACTACCTACCTACACTGACTCATAGTCAACAATACTGTCCGACAGCACCGTATCTTCTTTAAATCGCGAATTTCCCAACTTGTTCCAAGAACAAACACCAATTCAATCTACGTACACGTTGTCGCGAGATATCCTCCCATCTCAGCTCAGCTTCTCACAGCAACAACAAAAACCCGCACCCACCCTCAAACCTCACCATCAACCAATTGTCTACATACCCAACCATACCCAACCCGTACTCGCAACCACATTCAAAATGTCACCAAAAACCTACATTCACCTCGTCCGCCACGCCCAAGGCCATCACAACGTCAGCCAAGCCAACCACGTCTTCGCCGACCCACTCCTCACGCCCCTCGGCGAATCCCAATGTTCTGCTCTCCGTGACTCCTTCCCCTACCACGATAAAATCACCCACCTCGTCGCCTCGCCCATGCGACGCACGCTTTACACCTGTCTGTTGAGTTTCCAGCCGGCTGTTGAGCGTTTGGCAAAGGGGGGAAAGAAGGAGGGGGTGGTGGTGGCCCTGCCAGAAGTGCAGGAGGTGTCCAACTTGCCCTGCGACGTGGGTTCAGCACCGGAGAAACTGCACCAAGAGTTTGACGAGGCCGGGTTGGTCGATTTGTCCCTGGTCAAGGACGGGTGGCAGGATAAGCACTCACCTGATAGTCCGTGGAAGCCCGAGATGGAGAAGGTGAAGCGCCGGGCGGAAAAGGCGAGGAAGTGGTTGTACGAGTTGGCGCAGCAGGATTCTACTTCTTCTGCTATGGCCGGGGCCGGGGCTGAGTCCCAGGCTGATGGAGGAGAGCAGCAGGAAAAGCACATTGTGGTGGTCACCCATGGCGGCTTCCTCCATTTCTTGACGCAAGACTTTGATGGAATGGACTTGAATAGGGGGACTGGGTGGGATAATACCGAGTGGAGGACTTACGAGTTTGTTACGGACGCTCAAGGACAACATGGGGATGTAGGCTTGAAGGAGACGGAGGAGAGCTGGAGGAAGAGAAAGGGAAGCGCGAAGCCACTGACGCAGACGGAACAGGAGGAGATAATGGCGGCTGTTGATGAGAGGTTGAAGCAGGCGTTTGGGGATGGGGTTAGGAGAGTGGGGGGAAAGAGGGTGTAGGGAGAGAGGGTTGATGTTTAGAGCCGGCTGGGTTGTGGGAGGGGGAATTGGGAAAGATGAGTGATTTAAGCGTAGACTAGAGCCTTGTTATTGGGTTGTAGAAGAGTTAGTATTTTTTTATCCTAGGTTGAGACATGTCTAGCAACTTATGCGGACCCTGTTCATAACTGATAGGCCCTGAATTGCAGTCTCACACAAGAAAAGACCCCTACTTTGCATCGCCTTCCTCATTTCAGAGAATGATCACTTTCATATGTTCCTCTATTCTCATACCAGACCCATACCATAATATTTGCGTAAATAATCTCATAATCATTCATATATCATCTCCGTACCTTGTCATCCTTCACCGACATCCAGATATCCAAGAGAGCCAGCGAGTAGTCCCGGAATGAAATCGTAAACCATACATACATCCAAGCATAAAAGAAGAAAAAGAAAACCCCAGAAAACGCCATAGTGATGGTGTCAGTCAGTTAATAATAACCCAATCCAACCCGACCCGATCCGATCCGATCCGATCCACCTTCCAAAGGTCTCCTCCCAATGCGCCCAAAGTATATCCAAAGATATAAGGTGATCAGGTATCATATACTCGTGTGCCATCAATTTTCATCCGTTTCTTCCCAAGTGTCGTGTCTCGTGAAACTCAGACACGTGTGATATGGGTGTGCATAGCCATGTCCAGTCTCAGCTTATGCTTTCTGTGTCCCGCGTTCGTCCCGTTCGTTCCCATCAATCGATAGAAGGTATCGAAACGAAGAGACGGTTCCTGTTCGTCTGGTCTTCTTCTTCTTTCGATCATTCATCCAATGCCGTGAAATGAAACGACCCGTTTTGGCGTGATTTGGTTCAGTTTCCTTCCCATGGATTGGGGGCCAAGCTAGAGGTACCTAGTAGCTAGGCAAATACCTATGCATGTGCAAGGTTCGCTGAAAGAGCGCGCGCACAGTTTTTGTGCCCTTTTCTGCCGGAATTTTAATCATTCCACCACCCAGCTTCTTCCGAGGAAAGAAAAAAAAAAAAATTTAGTTCAGCGCATGCGTTGCACTTCACTTAACGCCCCCTCGAATGCGAATGCTCATCGTCATCCGTCAAGCTGGTACTGCTCCCGCTCGACGAGGTGGTCACGGTGCCGTGGGCCTTGCGCGCCACGCTGACGAGGCGGTAGATGCCAAAGGCGATGGCGGCCAAAACAATAAAAAGGACAATGATGATGATGGCGATGACGTCGTTTCCCTTCATTCTGGGCGATTGGTGTGGTTTTGAGGGTTTACTTTATTCGGATATTGGCGTTGTCAGGTTGACTCGCGGTCTAAAAGTGTTGGGAAGTGTTGGTGGTAGTTCGGCTTGGAAGTTGGAATCGTCAGCGTTGGAAATGGTGGTGGTGTTGTTGTTGTTGTCGTCGTTTATGTAAGTGGTTTGAGATGAACGATGGGATAATGAGACGGTTCTTCTATTACATCGTGTTAGCTTCCTGGAGTTCTAGCCCTCTCTTCATATCTGTGTGTCTGTGTTTGAAAAGCCATCGAGTGATGGGGGATTATATTGCCCCTTGGGATTCGATTCGCGCAAACTCACCCAAGAAGCATCCGTCGCTTTGTGTTCGTCTGAAGATAACGAGAATTGGAGATTGTGGTTATGGGGCAGCGTCTGACAGAACAATCCAGATCGCCGAGCTTTATACTTTGAACTTTTTAGGCGTTCTTCGTTCCAGACCGCTTTGGCGCTCAAGAAGCTGTTCTCCGTAACCGATGCTGGCTAATGCAGGTGGTTTGTTGACATGAAACTCCGTATTCTGTGATAGGCGGTATAGCTTTGGTCGTTGTCCTCTGCGGATTCCGAGTCGACCTCTCTCTACCTTTGCCGTTATCTTTCTCAACTCAGTTGTCTTTAGAGACCTGTTTGTCGGATTGGAGAAAGTAGAATACAAAGCAATTTCGGAATCGCAGACAATAAGATCAGGAAAAGCGGTATAGCATCACAGTCGCATTTCAGATCCAACGGCGGCAAGCAGGGCAGCGCGTGGTAAGTGGGCGGTGGGCGGGCGAGCATAAAATAGTCAGATCTGCCCAATTCACCCCGCCACCTTCTTTACCATTTGCTTACAAGCAGTTCGTAGGTAAAAGACCTGCCCGAAGGCGCATCGTAAGTGGTCTCAGGGCGGAAAAAGAAGAAGGCTGGTAAACATTGGAGCGTCGTACCTTGCGGACCCCGCCAAGTTTGACCTTTATTAGGGCGCGTCCCCCGGTTAGGCTGGCGACGTTGAGATGGACAGGGGTGCAGTTGGGCTGGCTGGGCTGGAGCCACTCATCCGTCCGCATTTAGAAACCAGCTGGACATGGAAAGCTACATATCTAGGAATTGGTCAGTACACTACATAAGGTCAGGCACTTGGAGCTGTTACCCCTGTACTGGAACTGACGGGAGCATCTTCATGTGCAAAGCTCGTGTTGGTTTTCAAGGCAAAACTGTGTGATGGAATTATTCCCGTGATGTTGAATTACTTGTGAGCTGGTGGCTGGAATATGCTAAGCAGTACATCTATGACTTCTAGATGTTGAGTTCTGTAGGAGGAAAAAGTGTTCTCTGCGCCCCTTGAAGATGTCCTAAGTAGGAGGCACTGCCTCTTCAAACAGAAGCTCAGAAACGGGACAGGTATTTTCCTTGAACGCCGCACCCAAATATTGCTATGCCTCGAATGGATACTCGACTGCACTCCCTCGTTAAATGCTATGATACAGGCCTTTTGGATCCGCCACTCCTTCAAGTGAAATTGTGAAGATGAAAAAACTCGCCGAGAAGTGATGTGCCGAATTCGCTCTAATGATAGAGAGCCGCAAGGCTCAGGGACTCTTCTCGAGCCAACTTTCATTTCCAGCATGATATTTCAAACCCCCATCCTCCAGGCACGCGTTAAAACCAAAAGAGAAGGAAAAGACTACAGACCCAAGCCGATTGAGATCTTGATGAGAAACAAACTTAAACTGAACAATTCACACGTTTCTGAAGGAAGCGTGTCGAGACTCAAGTCACAAATGGAAAGCCCTTCAACGCGCAGCCGAAAGGTACAGGCAAATCAATGCCTTCGCGGCCAGCTGAGCAGTAGACAACTCGAGCCGATCATGGCCAGTTCCGGGGCCCGACCATCAGGGGTACCATCCAGCGACCTCTTCGCGGATCAGAAGGGTTGATATGCGGCTCCATTTGGGTGACCTTAACCGAAGAAGGATGAACGTAGCGGTGTCATTTCTGTGCATGGCGGTCGCTTCTGCGCCGAGCAGGAGGGAGTTCTGACGCGAGTTGTTCGAGAAGTGCTACCTCGGTCTTCTATTGCGAGACGCTGCCCTCGCGATCCTCGGAGTCGGGGTCCCTCTTGATAATCCTCACATGTCGCTCATAAAATTGGAGCATCTAGTAAATGATATCAGCCGAGACTCCTAAGACATACACAGGAACAGGCAGAACATACCTTTTGGGGGCACCTCTTGTAGATGACGTCAGTTGTGTGCTGGGTCTTGTGGCCATTTTTCCACGTCAGATAAACCATGAGCTTGTGTGTTTCCTCATCTTCGCAGGCATCGAGTTGAGCAATATGCTCTTCCCAGCTTCCCGCTGGGGGCTTCCAGGCAGCGTTCTTGGCGGTCTGGGGCTCCTCAGAGTTGAGGGGGTGGTCGCCGTTCTTCCTCGACCGTTTGTTGCTGCTTGCTTGGGGAGTGCCAGAGTTTGAAGAAGGCCGGCCACGCTTCTTGGTCTTCTGCGCCGCAGCGGAAGCTTCGAAAATCTTCTCTCGACCGCCAATCTTGGTAAAGTACTCCTTGAGCCTCTCCGACGCGCCCTCTCTGTCATGAGCAACGCTATGTTAGCAAAATAGAACGAGTCAAGATTCAAAGAATTCGCGATCCCTACATCAAAGTGTCCTCGGGCTCCCAGGTCTGGTCGGACTTTTTCTCGTAACCCTCCCACTTCACGAGGAAGAGTGGTTCGTTCTGCAGTTGCGCGTTAGTACCGCGTGCTGGATGACTTTGGATGCGGCAGTGTAGCGTACATCGTCGTTGAGCATATGGTCGAGAATTTTCTCGACGACGTAGACGTCCTCCTCCTCCTCGTCACCTTCCTCGTCATCCTCACCGCCTTCATCGGCGCCGTCTCCGTTCTGCTCCTCGTCTTCAAAGTCCTCGGGCTCTGGAATTGTGTACTTGACGGACTTTTTGTCGCGAGACTGTTTCTTGCTGCTCGAGGTAGCCGAGCGAGTGTCGGGCTCAACATCGGAGGCGGCCTCCTCGTCGCTGAGAGCCGATGGATCGTAAGGCATGTTTATGAGCTGGTGTGAAGATTGCGGTTGAAGTGATGCGACGAAGTGTTGCGCTGTGGTCGGAACGGGGGGCGTTGCAGTCAACCGTGATGCGTGACAGGGCGCGACGCGAATTCGTTCTCGGTGGTTGACGGTATATCGATGCGCCGGTAGTCTCGTTACCGACTCCCAAGAGGTAAGACTGTAAACACGAGACTTATAAGTAGTAAGATGAGGCTGAGCTGAGAACTGTAGAGATAGAATCCGTATGGACGACGGTAGAGGTAGGTAGTAGTTCCCGGTCGATGCTGTGCACTATCTAGTAGGTGGTTCGCGAACGGGGAAGATCCGAACGGTCCAGATTCAGTGCGCTACGTACTGGAATTCAGTTCCAGGCCTGCATTAAAAGTGATAGAGCTGGTTGCAGCAAGTGCTTGTTCGTTCCATTGCCCGCCGCGCCGACGCGAAGAAGTGGGGAGTGGCAGTGAGGCTGGGACCCAGCGAAGTGTGGCTCGTGTGTTGCACGTGACCTCGCGTGAGAGAAGTAGGATATGATTTGTGGCTAGAGTGATGCCGGTTGGTCAATTTGCAAAGTCTAGACTCACCAGATCATTTGCCGACTTGATAGTAGTAACCTATGCAGAGTGATATGACATACATAATCAAGTTCTGAACGAGAGAGAGAAAGATGATGAAGGACGAAGAAAACCTCAGCTGAAAGGAAATTCCGAAAGTCGGTCAATTGAAATCATCTTGGGAATTCAGTTCCGTTTGCTCAGCGAAGTGAAAGGAAAGTGCCGTGCACATCATATGGCTTACAATCAGACAACGCCCCTTTGGTGACGTCAAACGAACAAGCGGAATCATTGACGGTTATTTTTTTGTGCAGCGGCTCCTTTCCAACCGGCCTCCAGCTATACAATTTGGATGGGGTAGAGGCGACGGAAGCTCTACTACTGTGCAAGCTGGGTAAGTAACCTCATCGAATATCAGGGCTCTCGGATAAAGTATTGTTTGGAAGACTCTCAACACACAGTACTTATCCTTGCAATCAAAACCAAACATCCGTCGCATGGCGCACCAAACACAAAGCAATCACAACATCAGATTAACTCTCAGAAGCTGCAATGTTATGTTCTCTCTTTCTCCGCCGAGCAGATGGTAGAATGCACTACATGACAAAAGGCACAACCAGCTGCATGTAATGGAACACAACCCACATAGGACCCTTTCGTTGTGCCTAATGGAACCAGTCATCGTCAAGCTATGTATGGTGCCAAATATAAAGAGTCGGGTTCACGCTTTTACAATTGATTGTATCGCAGATGGCCGAGACAGTTGACAGCATCTCAACACAGAACCTTGCGTCGACAGAGTAATAGGAAAGGGGCCCATCAGATCTCTTGTCCACTATACATAGTAGGTCTGAGTTTGGATATTACAGCGCGGCTCGGATGGCTCATGCTCGACTGAGCGAGGAGATGGGACAAAGCCGTGCTCGATGGCGTAGATAAACCAGAGTACTGGAACTAGACATCAGTTTTCCGACCTCTAGACAACTGGTATGAGATGGCAGCTGCGTCCATGGATCTTGGTGTCTTAGTCGAAACATGTGCAAATTTGGCGATGCATCTTTTACGCATATGCAACTTCTCCACCTGCAGATACCGTCCCGCCCCGGTCCTGGGTCAGAAAGGTACGATCCTATTCCTAAGGTTTCCGAAGAAGTTGAGACTACAAGTATATCCCATGAAGTAGAAGAGTATGTGTCGATCTGAGTGAGCGAGCACTAGCATGGTCTTTATACTGAAAAGATAACTACCTCTACACTATGTACTCAGGGCACCTACTTGATCATTGGATAGTCAACTAAGCTCGAAATGGGAAAAGGTGTAAAGTACCTAATGCCAAGCCGAGACATGAGCTGCTTACATACAGAAAATGTTACCGCTACCCCTTGTTACAGTGCGGTCCATGAGTCCTTGTTGGCTTATAGTGTACAGTACCCCCTATACTGTGCGGAAAGACTAGAAAAGAATGAAACGGAAAGGGTTCACGGCGGGTCTGGGGTCCTGGGCCGCTCGTGAATTGGACGCGATATCTCGAACTTGTCAAGTTTTCCATTTCCATGGTCAAAGTCAGTTGGGACCCATTTTCTGAAAATACTCACATTACCTTGCAACTTTGACATACTCACCCAGCTAGGTCTGAGTCTCTTAACGCAGCAACAGTATCTGATGAGACCTCAGCGAGGCAGTTTCCGTCCTCAACCCTCGACAAGACAACCACTTGGGTCTTCATCTCAACTTCCCCAGCCGTTGTTACGTTGCGCGTACTTGTATGCCGAACGTTCATCTCATATCGACCCGATGAATCACTAACTACATACCGCGCATCCATCCGGTAATTCCAATTGAGGAGCTTTGCCCTTCGCTCCGAGACAGCAAAATACAACTTTCACAAGAGCGCCGTCAACTGTTTCCGAACCCGAGTGGTAAGGTCCGGGGATCCACATCCGATAGACCGGATTTCTCGAGCAACAAAGCGCTCCTCTCCACCAATACTGCGCAGTCCCAGTTGCGCGTCGCGGGACAGCCCCATTGTTACCGTAGTTGAAGCTCTTTCATTCCGAGTCTGGGACCCGAGATCTCGGGGCTCGACATCTCAGTTAGCGTTCCGGAAGAAACTCCGCCTCTCTGGAACCGGCACCGGCACCGGCACCGGCACCAGCCCGGGATTGCCTCACAGACACAATGGCCGGGACAGAAACACCAGCTCTCTCGGTTGAGTCAAACCCAAACACGCCAAAGCACGTCAAGGACAAAAAGTGCCCTTGGTGCGGCCAACCATTCACTTCATCCTCCCTTGGCCGCCATCTCGACCTCTACATTAGACCTAATAATCCCAAAAAGCCTGACGGCATTCACGATGTCACGGCTATCAGACGTCTTCGCGGCACGATAACCAGGAGGAGAACCAAGGGTACCTGCAGACGAAGAGACGCCTCAGCATCTGCTGTCGGCAGTGCAACACCATCGGGAGCACCCTCTAAGGATGGCATCAGTCCTGCACCCTCCGATGTCGTCCAATCTCCGGCTCCGACCCCTATGCTCGCTGGAACTCCCGCTGCCACCCACAGCAACCGGAGAAGTGTGAGCACGCCGTTTGGGAGGAATTTCCCCTTCAACACCCCTTGGGAGGCCACCGGGGTTATTGACTTATCCCGAAGAAGCAACGGCGTTCCTTCACATCTTGAAGAGAGGCAGGCTCTCCCAGATGGCTCGAGGTCGCTGGCCCCTGTACCACCACCACTGCCACCTCATACGTCTTCTTCTGGCCAACAGCCTCTGCATCACCAACCTGATCCGAGGCAACTGATTCAGGATGCCCAGGATACAGCGAGAGCTGCCGAGCTTGCCCTGCGTGAGATGATCTGCTCATGGAGGGCTGCTAAGTAAGTTGTCAGTTATACACAGTAGTCCGATGTGAGTTGCTAACTCCAATTTTGAAGGCTACACGTCGACCTGCATACGATGCCCTTTGACTTTGACCCTCTAGCTCTGGATTTCCCTGCACTCGTCCTCCAATGCCTCGAACCACCACCCACCATATTCTCCTCCACTTTCTACCCAACCTCCACTTCCTGGTCCCTCCAGCCGCCCGGGTGGGATCAGTTCAAGGCCCTCGAGAAGTACTTCCAAGACGAGTTCAATAAATGGCACATCAACTGCAGAGCCGCCACCACCGCCGTCAACGAGGACCTCAGCTATCCGCCGCCCGTCAACTTCATCAATGTTGACATCAAGGAAGCCATCCGGCGCTCCGAAACCATCAACAAGTCCCTTGAAAAGTCCGTCTCGGAGCACCTGAAGAAGACCTTTGGCGTCTGGGAAGCCTCGAGCCAGTTCGACCGCGAGAAGATGTGGCAGCTCGAGTTGGCGCGCAGCGTGGCCCGCAAGCAAAAGGATATCAACACCCTGAAGGAGGAACAGCACCGCGTCCGGCAGGAAAACAACAACCTCAAGCTGCAGATCGAACACCTTAACGTGCTGCAGCAGCCGCGCGAGTACAAGTTGCAAACCCCCGCCACACTCCCCATCGAGAAGAAGCTGATCGACTACATGTCCGAGCTGATAGTCGTTCATGAAATATCTGGCGTCGGGCTGGAGCATGGTCATCGTCATCATGACCTCAACACCGTTTGCAAGGAGGCAATTGACCGCTGGAAGAAGGTGGTGCAATCTGGACGGCAAGGCCCACCGCCACCGGCACCGGCGCCGGCCCAGGCACCGCAGCAGCAACAACACCAGCCTGTCTCTGAACCTCAATTTCCTCAATCTACGTCTGTGCCTGGTGGCGGCCCCTCTTCGCACAATCCGCTAATGTTGTACAACTCAGCGATAGCGGCTAATTATGCCACGAAGAATCCTTCAACCTCGTCAAGCGCAGCTCCATCGCGCCCCCAGCAGCAGCAGCCAAACACAACGGCCCAAGCCATGAGGGATAGAGACAAAGACAGAGACCCTGCGAGTGACGAGGAGGATGGTGATGGTTATGAGGAGGGCGAAGAGGGCGAGGAAGGGGATAATGATGAAGATGAGGAGGGGGGAGACGAAGATGCCGAGATGGCCGACGCAGAAGCAGAAGCGCAACGACCAAATTCGAAAAGGCAGTCACATCAGCAGGCTGACGGCTCATCGGGAGAGATTGGAGGAGGTGGTGGCAGTGGGGCAGGCGAGCCGATGAAAACAAACTAGCAGTCTTCTGGAGATGGAGAAAGTAAGAGGGCGGGAGTTGCACAAGGCTGAATGCATTTGCGTAAAGTTGATGCACCTCCATCAACCCACCAAGTTGGAGATAATGCATGCTTTTTACCTCCACCCATTTTTGGATACGAATGCATATTGTGAACACTATAACCAGCACTTGGATGTCATGTACGTGGGAGATTTTGAACAGTGAAGTCTAACAATCACCTTACCTGCATTGGACAGATTCGGTTTCACTCCTCTCTTCACTCCTCTTATATGAAGAACGAGTGATTGATAGTCCCAACATTGATTGTTTGTCATTCAGCGACAGGTCAAATGAATGTAACTGATTACTCAGTGGGTTATCGTACATGTGTGTCTGCTCAGAAAGTCTCAATACGTGACATATGCACCGTTTAATTTCCTCAACTTGAGAAGGAGGAAAAGGGGAAAGAAATGGGTATCATGAATTAATTGCCCGGCTGCCTCTCACACTCGCTCGAGTATCTCTATAACAGAATCAACAAGATAACTGACGGGCTGGCTGACTGGCCCCGGCGATGGGTAAAAGGGTATCATTCTGAACGCTTTTCAACGCACGATGGATTTGAAGAACAAGGGCAGACTGGGTGGTATTCCAATCCATTTGCCTCAACAGAATTGCATGAAAAAGAGTCAGCAGATCACGACAGCGCCTTCAGACAACAAATTACCCTCGTCACCCTCAAAGCATGAAGAGTAGCAGCAAGCGAATCGCAGCACCCAAGGAACCAAGCGACAATGGAGAGTGATGTGATGATCATGATGTGAACAAAAACCTCCTTTCCTAAATCTCACTATCCATATCTTGCTCAGCGCGCGTGTAACCAAAATGGCTCGAATCAGTCATCAAGAAAACCCCCCCTTCCACCCGCCAGGCTCTTCCACCTGTAATGAAGAAACACCATTCCATCCATGACCTGAATCATTCGTGTTCATGTTCATTCATAGCCCGAGTAAGAGAAAAAATATAGTCAAATGAAAAAGCCAAAACCCCGTAAACGCCATTTACCCGCTTTCTCCGCGCCTCAAATCTTTCCTGCCCCAAGATCAATGATCTCGCTCTTCTACTCCTCTCTCTAAAAGGCGATTCTCGTCATTTCCAAAAAAAAAAAAAAAGAGTGGTTCATCCTCCGTGAACTCAGGTGCCTGAAGCTGCCACGCTGACTGAAGGTACGACTTTAAGCGCAATGAAGCCGTTCATATCGATGCATAGAAGACCAGCTCTTAAGCTTCTAGCTCTGTTGCGTCGTTTCCTCGGTCGAGCTTGAAGGGGTACTTGTGCCGTCGGCGGTCGTTGGCTTCTCCTTCTCCTTCTCCTTGTCCTTTCCTCCTGCTGATGAGGTGTCACTGTTCTTCTTCTTGCTGGACTGTTCATCCTGAAACAAGCCGTGCTCTTCAATGTACTAGATGTATACCGTGTTAGGGTCAAAATTCCGCCACACTGGCTGATAGGAGGGCAACACGATAATAACATACCTCGACAACAGGATCAGGAATGAGATATCGCACGCTCAGATCCTTCTTCAAGAAGAGACGGACTTTGGTGGAGCTAAATGTTGCGGTAAGACGAGTTTTGCGTGTCAGTCACTTTGCCACTAGCTTTACCCGATGGTGTGGTGGTACAAGGGTCCCCTAAGGGTCCCATCCCAACGGGATCGACGAACCTGATGTCATTCTGTATCACTTGGCTGATAACCCAAATGTTGTCTTCGTACTGCCTCAGCGTAGCAAGCGCCTCATCGATATCGGTTCCCGAGCGCTCAATGATGAAAGCGCCGTACTCCCCGAGGATGACTCCCAAATCAACCGGCGACCAAAGCCCGGGCTCTCCTGTACAAAGAGTCAGCTTATTGTGCTATGATACACGGCAATATCCTTCAATGCGACGTCGGTGGCGTGTGGAAGGGAAGGCGTTCATACCCATTGACATGACCAAATCTGCGCCAGCAAGAAGCGCAATCTTTGCCTTCCTTCGCACACCATCGGTGCCCTCAATGCCACCCAGTACGGTGTTGATCTCGTGGTCGAAGTGTCGAAGCACCCGCGCCGTGGGAACGTAAGCGGGCTCGCCATTTTCGTCGCAGTTGACCGTCTCAAAGGGGTCGACCATTAGCCAGGAAGAATGTTCGACGGCGCGGGAGCACATCTCGACGCGATGATGACCGGGAGCTAGGCCAGCCTTCTTGTAGGCGTCGCTGACGGGGGAGAGGTAGCCGCCGCAGACTTCGAAGCTGGTATTGAATCGGACAAAGTCGGAGGCCATTTCGAACATGCGAAGGTGGAGGAATGTGATGGCTGCAGAGGAAGAGGGGAAGTGTTAATGGAGTCCTTTTTGCCAAGATACTGTATTGCATTCGAGTACTCACGGGAGAAAGAGCCGCAAGCCACGAGAACCAAAGGTGTCCTCCCAGGCTGCGTTTGTTGGAGCTTCAGCTTGGCCTGGGGGAAGGTATAAGGCACTATGGTGTTGCCGGTGGAGGCTTGCTCGGGAGGGGGATAGGTGACGGGGGTCGCCATGCCCGTTGAAGTTTGGGAAGACATGGTGACTTGTTGTATTGTAATGTTTGTAGGTGTCGTTTGCCGTTGAACTAGGTCAGTGTAGATGTTGCGATACTAGGTACCGGCAGGGTCGGGTGTCGCAAAGTAATGCGTCCCGGGAGACGGGTGACGCAGCTGGGGTGGAATCGGTCGCTCAAGGCGGCTTGCCGTGGATGCGATGCGAGATGATGCAGCGGCCAGGGCGCAGAGTGTGCTGGGAGGGGCCACAATGCGGGGTGTCCCAGATGTTGTATAAGCGGCGACGGCGGATCTTGTTTGACGAAGGTGACCGGGTCAAGGTGGATGTGATGATGTGAGAAGGCAGTTGCCGAAAGCCGGATAGGTCGGTAAGGTGTTCGGAAATCCTAAGATACGTCTTGGTGTGTATTCCAATTTCGGACTGCACTGTTCGAGAGGTCACAGTTCTTCCAGCGAAGTAGGATTCGAGGGTATATTTAAGGTAGGTAGTTGTAGATAGCTGCCGGCTCGGATGTGTCAGGTGTTGCGGCCGAATTGATCTGACTAGGGAGGACGAGCGCGAGAGTTGGGTGGAGGGCGGATAGTCTGAACTTTGAATCGATTTGAAAGCAGACTAGGAAGTGTGTGAAAGGAGCAAGGAGAACTGAAATTCTGGAATCTCGTGGACAACCAGCGCGTCGGGTGTGTGCGTCTGTCTGGCTGCTTGGGAAAAAAAAGAGCTGATGAGCAAATTGTAGCTATGCACAGATGCAGGGCGACAGCGATGGCGTGAAGGATGAGCGGGCCCTTTTTTCTTTTTATCAATTTTGTCGAGTTGTTGAAAGGTTTTTGATGGGAAGAAGACGACGACGACGACCACAACGGGAGGTGGCACAAGCAGGCATCAGTTGCGCGGGGTCCAGGTCGGGCGAACGGGGAGGATTGCCAATTGGTTTGAATAGGTAGTTATATACCAAGAGATATGATCCAAGAGGGTTGGTTGTTGGATGATAAATACTACAAGTACGGATGGTTCCGATCTCACTGTCTCAATTCAGTTCCTCACTCTCGGGGCAGTGTGTTTGTGGTAGGTTGCTGCGCCCGCTGTCGGCGGCGGGGGCACAGGCTTTGCGGTTGCATTCCCACAATGACTCCATCGGAGGCTGATCCACTCGACAAAACCCACTAAAAAAAACGCAACCCACTTAGCGACTCCTCTCACCATCCTCAATTGCAACCGACCCTTGCGCTTATCCATGGTCACTTTTCTGTCCTGCAGGTCTGCATGTACAATTGGCTGCTTGATAGGTACCTTTTGCCTGGGGAAGTGGATGCACATGAGATACCCACCGGTCGACCACCGTGACTCCAGCTCCCGCCGTCAGCCCTCCCGTGCTCCCGTCTCTTGTTCAGTCTGCGGTGGGGGTACAACAGAAGTTTAGTGTAGAGAGGGCCGAAGGGCTCAGAGATAAATTGGGTACTAAGGTAGGCAGCGGTGGTGAACTTGGGGCATACGAAGCTGTGAACGGCCAAAACCTGTGTTGCCTGAGTGTTCTTAAGACTCGTCAGGGTAGGTATAAGTGACCCAGACAGCCTGGTTGACCGATGACGGAAGCCCAAAAAAACTGGGATGTGAGGGAATGGAACTCCGGTAATTGATGTTCTAACTTCCATCTTTCCTGGCCGGACACATGCGCTTCAAGTCGAGTAACATCCACGGAAGTCTCCGATCAGAGGAAGAAACCTCATTTTGTTTTCTACCTGCAGGTCTTCACGGTTATTCACGGAACTGTGACGATTGATCGGGGGCAAGTTGTCAGGTTGAAAATATGTGCTCTAGACAGCTACCTGTGCTGATTCTCGCCGTTTCTACCTATATTCGATCCTCCCAAGCTTCATGACCTATCCCCGGGAAGCCGGACTATACACAACCTCACATAAGCGTTGTATCAACCAATCAACTTTTTGTGTACGTTTCGAAAGCAATTATTGCTTGTCGGGGTTTTATAGTCGGTAAGCCCAACGGGTCAGCGCTTACCCTCCAGATGCCGAGGAGTGTTCGGAGTTCTCTCGCAGTGGGGCGGCCAGGCACTGGTGCGATTTATAAGCCCAGCTTATGCGGTCCAGCTCTCCTTCTGTTCGGTTTATTTGCGGAGCAAATAATGATTCTCACGCCTGAGTTGTCCTTGCAAATATTAGTTAGCCAGCTCTTTTAATTTGGTGATATCTAGATCACTTCATTTGCTCTGGACAGTTAGGTTTTTTTTTTCTTCATCTTTTGACTTGAGGGAGTTACTAAGTTGTCAGTACTAACATTGCTGCCTGTGACGTCGCACTTCAATCCCCTCTTTCCAGCAATGTGTCTAGGAACAAGAGACCGGAAACATTCATGCGGGTAACACACACCCTGTTCAATTCCAACACAAGGTCCAGAACTACCTTTGCTTTTGTGACCATCATTTCGGGGTTTCTCCATGATGCCTGCCGTAACCAGTTCACGTGGCTTCGATTGCTTCATTCAAATAGATCGCCTGTACTCTTCACTT